AGGCTTTAGAATTCAATCCGAAGTATTCTAAGTCCACCTACAGTGTTACTGGCACTACTTTGACCTCAGCCTATGTTCGTTGTCTTTCTTTAGAAGCGCGTAAAGCTACCCAGTGCATGGAGGAGGGTTCATAGTGAAAGGAAGCCACAGTTTTGTATCTTTGTCCTGTTTCGGAATCCTTCGGATGTCAGAAACAGGTATTCAGGCTAAAGAAAGGAGGGAATCCTAAGGATACAGGGTATTTTATAGACCCCAGTGCGAGAAGTACAGTCGATTCTTGTATGGGGCTGGGCTGGGACTGTCAGACTTTGCACCTGGTCCTTTCTCCTGCTTGTCAGGCACAGCCCTGGAATAGACAACCCAGTCCCCAAGTATACACAACGTCCCAGCTCTAAGGATCACCGTACACAGCTTCCCAGTGCCTCTTGATTCATTCAGATTCTCAAGAAAGAACACGATCGGCCCAGCACATTGCCTGGGTGTCTACGCCTGACCAGTTAGCCTTGGCGTGTGGGGCGGCAGCGGTGTGCCCCTTTGGGTGGGAGATGGGGGGAGAAGAGGCTATAGGCAGGATAGATACCCTCCCTAAAGGTCTTTTAGTAGTAAAGCTGCTGTCATACTGCCTTTTTTTAGAGTAGAAAGGTAGGCATGGGACTGTGTCTGGCATGTTGAGAAAATTCTTGGGTTTTGCTTAATTTGGGTTATCGTCGTCTTTATTTCTTTATTTCCTGTTGTCAATCCCTTTATCAGTCTTGGCATCCAAGATTTCTTACCTCCCTCCTCAGGACCCGTTTCTCCTGTTCCAGAGCTAGTCTGTTCTTAGGTGACGTTTCTTTGCCTTCATTCAATCTCAGGTTTTTAGCCTTCTTTCATATTATTTGGAGAGCAGATCACACATCCCACTGTAGCCACCCATGGACTTTTGGGCTCTCTTCAAGTTTTAGCACCGAAAATACATCCATTCTATGGGCCCGTGGCCCTGGCTCCCCTCCTCCTCGAGGAGAGCCCTGCGGTAATATTCTTGGGCAAGCCTTCCAGGGTACCTCAGAAACTGCTTCCCCATAGCCAGCAGGAATATATAATAACCGGGACAGTAGCCAGGATATAAATTAGATGTAGATTCCAGTTTAGAAGAGTTTTGACTGAGAGCTCTTTAGACCGGGAACCCTGGTCTCCCCTGTCCACTTGATTTCTTTGTAGTCCTGTATCAGAGCCTTTTTTAATTTTAATTTTATTTTTCAAAAAACTGCTTGCCTACTAAGTCTTTTGATCTTGCTTACCTCATCCTAGAGCCTGTCCCGTGTTCTTAAGGCATGTTCATAATTACTTGTAACTTTTTTAAACTGTTGGAGTCGTTAGGAATACACAGAAGTAACCTAGTAATCCAAAGATACACATTGAGGCACGTGATGAAGGGTGGGTCGTCAGCCCTTGCATTTGGTATCCTGGACTGGGCGCCAGAATCAAGGAGCAGAGGGACAGCAGGGCCGGGTGCCTCCCTGTCCTAGGAAATCTGGCGTGGTTCCACAGGGGAGCGCAGTGTTTTTTGGGTCTAAGCAGCGGCACCCGCGTAAGAGGTGGGGGGGCCGGGACGGGAGGAGCAAGCTCTGGCCGGAGGCTCCCTCACATTCAGATGGGAACGGGAAAAGAACGGAAGGGCCAGCTGTCGGCTAAGAACAACAGCTGTCTGGAGCTCTCCCTGCCGCTTCCCTTGTGTAACGCTCGAGAAAAACGCGGTGGACCGCTCCCTCTGTTTGCCCAGAGCAAAGGCTGAAAGCCAGCCTCCGCTCTCCTACCGCTCAGGCGGCCGAACAGATCAGCGGACTTCTGGTTGCCCGGCTCCACGTTCTTGACCCGCTCCTGAAATGAACGTGAGGGGCACCCCTCCACTGCCTCTCACAAGTCCTCTTTGCACGTCCGAGCCGGACCGGAGGGCCAGGGAATGGGGGAGGCTCGGGCACACGCCCCGGGCAGCTCCTCGGGCCTCACTCCGCCTCCCGCCCAGCCCCGACGAGGGGGGCGCCGTGTGCCCATGCCCAGTGCGCCAACCTGCTCGCGTGTCGCGTGCCCCGTGTGTCCGTTCCCTCCTCCCTACCTACCTCGGACCCTGCTCAGGGCGAGGTAGCCGTGCTCATGGCGGTCTTGAAACCGCAGAGGCAGAGAACCACGTAGGAGTCTGTAGACTGTGTGTTTTCTCTTCCTCGGTTTCTTCCTTCTGCTGTCTGGGTAAGCCTGCAGGCACGTTGCCCGTGAGAGTGGATGCCTCCTGACCTACCGGTCTCCGTGTCTCGGCCTTGACCTCCTGCTGAAACATGTGGTAGGGGCATGGCAGCTACGAGGTACCTCCTCCTACATTTGCTTTCTGGCTGTGGTGACTTGGGATTTTTAACCTTATATATCTTTTTCCTTTATTCAAAACAAAACAATTTTTAGCACACTGAAAAAAAAAAAAAAAGCCAAACATTTTTGTGCCTTTCTAAGGCAGCACTGTAACTCAGGCTGCATTTTAGGACTTAATATGGAAATACCAGAGTCTTAGCTCCTCTACCTTGAGTGTCCATCCTTACAGACTGGGGGGAGGAGGAAACGCTCTGTGTGGCTGGAGAGATGTCAGATAGGTGAGGCACGTCTGGGGTCCCCTCTCCCTGCCGTGATGCTCTTTTGGAGTACGTGTTCCCCTGGGATCATTCGGTTGGCTCTAGTCAGGATCGCAGCCGCCAGGTTGAAGGCTCTGTCTCCAGCGAGGAGAGAGGGAGACTGTTCTGGGATTTCCAGGTACGCCCTGGACCATTTCAAGTGTGCCAGCCTCTGGGCCTGCTAGTGACTCAACTGCATGGGAAAGTGTAGGACGGACTCTCCCGAGAACAGACGTGGTGTGTCTTTTCTCTTTGCTGGATCCTGAACTGGCCTAGACCTCCCGCCTCTCCCTCGAGACATGGCTTTCCTTTCATTTGCAGACTTCAGTCTTAAAGCATTAAGCAGCCAGTGCCCTCTGCGGGTCCAGTTTTCCCCTGGGGAAGGCAGCAAGGACCACGTGCCCGGTCCTCAGCATGGTGGTCACGGTCAGTTTCAGCAAAGAAAAAAGGAAAAAAAGTTTTCTGAGAATTTTACTTCTCCCTTTCCCCTTTCAGTTCTTCCCTGCCTTTAATGAAGAATTGGGAGAGAAACCATTCCTTTGAACGTCCTCCCTCTTTAGGATTTTGACATTCTTGGCCTGGGTGGGGCTGAGGAGAACTTGATGCTTCCTCCGGAATAGAGTCCCAATTTGTATATCAGTGTTAAAAATGAAACAAAACGAAAACTTAGAGGAGATTTTTGTGGACTATTTTAAAAATGTGTCATTAATATAAAAAAAAATTTCTATTAGCAGTATTTAATCCTTCTCACCTGTAAAGAATAAGACAGAAGGTAAATATTCTTACAGAGAAGAGCAGAGCTTTAAGATTGGTTTTCATTTGACGTCCCTTTTGTTTTGCCAATGTATTAATGTTTAGAGGTCTGTTATACTAATGTTATTTATTAATTTTTTTTCATTTCCATACACAGTTAACTAAAGAGCTTTTTCAAGCACCCATGTCTGTAAAAAAAAAAAAAAAATATTTTTAAATAAAGTTTCTTTTGTTGTAGCAGCCTGGAGTTCTTGCCCTTCCGTGGGGGTGGGAGAGTGAAAGACCAGGCCCGCGCAGTCATCGTGGTGAGTCTGCTGCTACCTCAAGGCAAGTCTGAGCCGCTGGAAAGCCTAGAAAAAAGTTGATAGCTCCTCCTTGCCAACAGCCTTCCGGGCCCTGAGAGCTGCCTTAGGGCGAGGCGGCCTTGCTGCTGACAAGCAGGGGGATCATCCTCTGTGGTGGAGCAGGAGCTGTTTGCTCAGAAGCAGAGGGAACCTCTGGTCCCCGCTCCTAAATGTGAAGGGTTTTGTGTTCTGTTCGGTACGATTCCAGTTGTGGAGACCCCAGGCTGCTGTGGTGCCCATGATGAATAAAAAACGGGGTGAGATTTCTGGGACAGTTAAGCTTTATTTTTCTTACATATACATATATATGTATATATACATACATAGAGGAAATTTGCAAATTTACACACAACCTAACGAAACCACATATACATACAGGTGCGCGCACACAGATACACATTCACACCCCAAAGCTCCAGCCAGGCCAGCTCTTGTCCCTAAGTACCATTCTCCCATTAGGGAAGGCCCTTCTCCCAGGGTCTAAGGCCATTAGCTCACTTTATAGAAGTTTGGTGCTTATAGAGTTATAGTCTTAATCGTCATAAAGGACAGTCTGGACCTCATGGCTGTCCCCTAACCCCACCTTTCAGTCTTACGTGACCCCCGGACAGGGCAGTGGGAGCCAAATTAACGCAGGGGGTTTGGGCACAACGGCCTAACTCTGGAAAACTGCCCAGCTTCCTCCCTGCAGGGACAACAGGATCTAAGGAACACCACCAGTCCTGGCTTCTTCCCAGAGAGAGGTGGGTCACTAAAGGGACTCCCGCGGCAGGCAGGCAGCTGCTTTGTAATGAATGCTGGGGTACATACTCTCCAGAACCGGTGTGAGCAACATACTTCAGCAGAGAGGGGCCTGGGCTCAGTGTGTCCTCACCTCAGTGACACAAGCGAATGAGGACGCCAGCCTTTGGGGCAGAAACCAGCTCCAGATAAACAGACTACCTAACTTGGCTGCCCGTAGAAAACAGGTATATACATCCACAATATGTCTACAGAGAAAACGCGGTCTGCAAGAAACTCCTTCCCACTCCCGGGATACTGAGGCCCCTCCCTGGGATGAGCCTCACCCAACCGAGACCTCGGTGGGTCGGTCCTTGAAGAGGACCTTCTCCCGACGGCCCTTCCCTCAGAAATGGGGTCTGCAGGCCAGCTGGAGTAGGGACCTCCTCCTACCCCGCGTTAGAGGCTTTGGCGATCATCCTGAGTGTTGGGAGAGGGTAAGCAGGAAGTGTTCCAGGCGGGAAGGGCACTCAGTGTGATGAGCAGGCTAGTGCCTCAGATCGATGTATTTCTCTCCCTAGAAGTAGGTGAAGAGGAGAGAGGTGAGGGGAGCGCGGGGGGACCGCGTTGGCGTCTGGGGTGGGAGCGCTGAAGGGATGAGGGACCGAAGCCAAAGCTGATGGACGAGGCGTGGAGGGAAGCGGTGGGAGGGGGCGGGGCAGGAGGGCCTAGGCTCCGCACTGGACTGGCCACACCGCGCTCGGTGACCTGAGCCACGGCACTGTTTGGGGAAAGGTGGCGGTGACAGGGCGGAGGGTGTGCTGTCAGTCCGGGGAGCTCCCCCTTGTCCACGGTCCCCTGGCCGCTCTCCTCGCCCTGCCAACCTGGGACTAGTGTTAGGAAGGCAAGACGGGCCTGCTCCCAGTCTCCAGTAGAGGAGGAGGAAAGGGAGAGAGAGTGAGTGTTCAGGGGACGAGAGCCATTAGCCCCCGCGGCTCCCAATCCCTGGAGAGGCGTCAGGCACTGGCCGCAGGAACTGCCTCCTACCTGGTCTCCTGGAGCCCTCTTGTCACCGGTGCTGCCCTGTAGGAGGCCCATCTCTTCTGGGAGCTTATCTGACTTAACTTCAACTACAAATTCGCTCTTACGAGACGGGGGCAGCGTGCTGGGAGGAGGGAGGGAGGCAAGAAGTTGGCAACTCAGGGGCAAGGGAAGGGAAGGTCGCTGGGAAAGACACTGGACTGGGTGATGGGGCTCTTAGGCAGGTGCTGTGGGGCCAGCTCAGGGAAGGGAAACACGCAGTGAATGGAAGGGAGAAGGCGTGGGTGAATGCAGCGGGCAGGAGAGCAGGGAGCACTCACACTCAGCGTCCCCCTCCTGCTCCTAAGGGGTGAGCGGGCACTCGAGCAGGCAGGGAATGTGCCCACGGAGGCAACAAGCTGGGTAGCACGACGGGGGGCGGGGGGGATAGAGGGCGCGGGGTACCATGCTTACATCTCCTGTTTGCCCGACCGCCCGCATGGTAGCTTGCCCTTCTTGTAGAAGAAATAGAGAACGGCACCCAGCACGGCCAGGACGAGGACGCACACGGTCACGGCCACGATGGCCACGCCCTTGCTTTCAGGCTCCGGCAGCTTCTTCTCTGTCCCACAGAGATGTTCCTAGTCACTCCCGGCCCCAGGTGGCCACGCTTCCACCACTGCCCCACCCAGCCCGGGGCTCCCCGGGCAGGGACAGGGCAGGATAAGGGTGCCCTGGCACAGCCCCGCGGCCCCCCCCCCCCGTTCTCGAGCCCAGACTGCCTGCTCACCTGTGGAGGTGCCGTTGGCTCTGCTGTAAGGACTGACAGTGGAGGTGCTGACGCCAGTGGTTCTGTTTGAGTCTGTGGTTAAACGGATCGAAAGGTGGGTTAAGAAAAGCACAAGCCCGCGCTCGCCACACCCCGCCACACTGAGGACGGACGAGGCCCGTACCCAGCTCCAGGAAAATGGTGGTGGTGTTTCTGCCCAGGAAGTTGAAGGCCACGCACTCTGCACCGGTCTCCAACAGCTCTGGGGTCACGAGGACATTCAGGACACTCAGGACGCTCTGCGGATCTTGGTCTTGTTCATGGGCCTGTAAGGAAGGAGGCGGAGCTCAGGGGCCGGGCCCGGTCCCCGCAGCAGAGCCTGGGGCAGGGGTGCGTGAGCAGGGGAAAAGGAGGTGGGCTCACCGTGCCGTCCACGCTCCAGGAGATGGAGGGCCGGGGATGTCCCGACGCTTCACAGGACAGATTCAACACTGTGTTCTCTTTCACCCACATCTTCCTTTCCTTTGATGTCATCCACGGGGACCCTTAGGGAGGGAGGGGGACAGGTGTGGCGGCCAACTCCACTGGCCTGCCTCCCCCTCCCCGCCAGAGCATCCCGGGGCGGCCGGTGGCCTTTCGTCCTCGAAGAGCTCGAAACCACCCAGCCGGGGGTAGCTTCCCAGGCCGCCCGGTCCCTGCCCAGAGGGCCTCACCAAAAATGGCCACGCGGACCAGCTGAGTGCGGTTCAGGCCCGGGACGCTGGGCACGGAGGCCACGCAGCGGTAGCCTCCCCCCGCGTCTCGCTGCAGGTTGTGTAAGCGGAGCACGGGCCCCTTCTCCAGCACCTGGCCTGTCTGGGGTGAGAGAGGGGTCGGTGGGTCACTCACAGCCACACGGCCCCCCATGCCCCACAGCCCCAGGCCCGCCTGAGTACCTTTTCTCTCAGCCACTGGAACTCCAGGGCTCGGTTACTCTCTGCCTCACAGGTCAGGGTGAGGCTGCCGCCCTCCCGGCTCTCTGGGGCCGCAGGGCTCACCCGGACATCAGACACATCTGGGGACACGGCAAGGGCGTCAGCCTGGGCAAAATTCCCGCTTGCCCCCCGCCTGCTCCCCCCCCCCCCCCCCCCCCCCCCCCCCCCCCCCCCCCCCGTCCGGGGCCCGGGGCCCTCACAGTTCACCAGCAGCTCCTGTTGCTCGCTCGGCAGCGATGCCATGGTTTCCAGGTCCAGGCCCTGACACTGATAGAGCCCACTGTGCTCCTTCCGGGCGGACTCCAACACCAGGACCCCGTTGTCCTCCGTCGCCTTCTCCTCCATCTCCTGGGTGCTGGGGTTCTGGGGGAGAGCGAGGGGGTGAGCAGCGTGCGCCTCCAGCCGCTCTCGCAGCCCTCGTGCGCCCAGCGCGGGCGCCCTCCGCACCTGCTTGCTGATGGTGAAGTGGGGCGGGGGGTTGCCGTCAGCCAGACACCGGATTTCCACGCGGTCCCCTTCCTTCAGCACGCCCACGGGCTCCACTTCCAGCCACACTTTCTCCGCCGGGTCTATAGCACAGGGGGGGCACGGGGGCCGCGGCCGTCAGCCCACCAGCCGGCCCCGCGACGGGGAGCGGCGGGACTTTTCCACCCGCCCCAGCCCAGGGCCGTATCGGGACTCACAGAAAACCGGGACGACGACTTCCCTGGACTCCTTCATGTGGTTCCCGCTGGGCAGCCGGTAGTTGAGCTCGCAGTAGAACTGGGCGTCTTTGTCTTCCTTAACCAGCTGGGCCTTCAGAACGCTCTGCAGGGTGTACAGACCGCTCGACTCGACAATCTGGGACGACTGAATGTGGACCCCTGGGCAGGGAGGAAGGGGAGAGAGGCTCGGCCTCGGCCCCGCCTCCGCCCCCACCCCCTGGTCGCAGGGGCTGCCGGAGGGGGCTCCCGGAGGGACCCCGGCCTCCGCAGAAGGCCAGGCACCACCGGAGCCGCGACTCTTCACCTCCGAAGTTTTACTGCTCCTTATCCACCTGCTCCGCGGGCGCGCGCGCGCACACCAGGGCGCGTGCCAGGAACGCCACAGTGACTGACCGATGCCCCTCAGCAAACACTCCAGACGCCCACCCACGGGGGTAGTGAACGGCCAGCCTGACTACACCATACCCACTGGTGGGGGGTGGGGGGGGGGCAAAACAATCCGGTAGAGCTACACTGACGAAGCTGCAAAGGTTTCCAAGGCTCACCGTCAAAAGAAAAGTGATCTACCACACAGAACCACCGAGATCGGGGGCTTCCCGACCTCGGTGCTGCCCAAGCGTCGGCGCAGAGAATTCTTTGTGGGGTGGGGCTGCCCCGTGCACTGTAGGCTGCCAACCGTCCCCCAGGTGCCATCACCACCATTCCGTTCGCGACAACCAGAAATACCTCCAGACAGCGCTAAACGTCCCGGAGGGAGGAGCAAAATGACCCCTCTTTGAGAACCACTGATTCAGAGAATAAAAAATCAAAAGCCTACACGTGCCGAGACGTATCTCTGTATGTGTAAGGACCCAGAAACTGGCCGGAAAGAACGAACACTCAACTGGCAGCAGAGATTACTTTCTGGGAGGGGATGTGGGGCAAGAAGGGAATTTTCCTTCTAGATCTCCTGGGTCGTTTACATTCTCACGAGAACGTTTTCAGGCCTCGCTTGTGGACTTCAAAAAACCAAGGTCTGGGGCGCCTGGGTGGCGCAGTCGGTTAAGCGTCCGACTTCAGCCAGGTCACGATCTCGCGGTCCGTGAGTTCGAGCCCGGCGTCGGGCTCTGGGCTGATGGCTCGGAGCCTGGAGCCTGTTTCCGATTCTGTGTCTCCCTCTCTCTCTGCCCCTCCCCCGTTCATGCTCTGTCTCTCTCTGTCCCCAAAATAAACGTTGAAAAAAAAAAAAATTAAAAAAAAAAAAAAAACAACAAACCAAGGTCCGACGAAAGGCAAGGTGGTGGCACCGTAAGCAGGGCCCTTAAGGGCTGACGGGGCTGCACTCACGTTTCTTCTCCTCCTTCAGGGGCCGCCCGTTCTTGTACCAGATGACTTGAGGAACGGGGTACCCATTTCTCCCCACACAGGTAGCAACCTGAGGGGGACAGGCCGTGAGTCTCGCTGCCGCTCAGGCCCCACCGGGCCCCGCCGGGCCACCCTGGCCTGGCTCACCTCCTCGGGCTCCTCGCTGTTGACCGAAATGCCCAAGGGATTGACCTGGATGGTCGGCTCCTCCGGGGCTTCTACGAGGGAAGGAGAGGGCATGGGACCACACCGCTTCCTGCGACCCACGCCGCCCGCGAGGCACGGATGGGGCACTGACTGTAGACGTGGAGCTGGATTCGGTGCTCCTGGGACTGAGGGCGCTTGCCCTGGCACAGGAAGATGCGCTCGTCGTGGGGGGTGACGTGTGCCAGGGCCAGAGTAGTCCCTCTGTCCAGGAGGCTGAGCCGGTGCTGGTACTCGCCGGGTTCGCTCTGGCCCTGGCCCTTGCGCACGCGGAAGATGAGAGTCGGCTTCTCCTTGTGGACCTGAGGAGGGGTGACGGAGGGGAGGGGAGGGTCCTGGGGCTGCGGGAGGGGGACAGCCTCCCACCCTGCCACCCTGCCACCCTCCGCACGCACTCACAGAAAACCAGTCCACGTGGCTGAAGTTGCCCGGGGAGTGGGAGGGGCCGCACTTCAGAAGGGCTGTCCCGCCAACTTCCACCTCCAGGGGCTCGGGGGTGGGGGGCTCCGCCTCTCCAGGCACACCTGGGGTGCGGGAGGGGACACCCCAGCAGTGGTGTCAGCTCCAGCTGCTCCCCGTGGCCTCCCCTCCCAGCCCGCTCCCTGCAGCTTTTCTTCCGGGAGAGGGCCCTGCCCTCCTGAGCCTCAACCCCTCTCTACCGGCTGCCCCAGGCTGCCCTCTCCCCCAGTTCAGGGGAGTCGGGGGGGACCGTCTCTGGTCATCGCAGGAGGAGACCCTGAGCACCAGGCACCTTCCAGACGAGGCTGGCAGAGGGGCAACCCAGGCGGTGGGCCAAGAGGAAGGCCCCTTTCCTTCCAGGCCCCCTCCACTCCCAGTGAGCTCAGAGTGTGGGAATGCAAGGCATGTGCCAGGCTGGGGCACACAGGCCCCTTTGTGTCCCCACACCACGGGGAAGACCTCACTACTCTGCCCCCCAAAAAAGCCCTTCCCAAATTTCCCACAAGACGCAGCGAGCCAACCCCGGCCAGAAGCTCCCATGTCAGGCTCCCAAAGCGGTACCTCTGTGGACATCCCACACGCTCAGGGGACCCCCCAGCCTGGGAGTCCTGTGAGCACGAAGGGGTCAGAATGTCCCCTAGGGGTCAGGGTGAGGGCCAGGCAGTGAGCAAGAGTGACGTCAGTGGTGCCAGCGTGCTGCCTGCCCTGTGAGGAGGTGATGTCACTCAGTACCATCTGGCTGGCCTCAGGGATGCCTGGGTTGTTGCCCCGGGCTGGCGCCCAGACAAGGAGGGCAGATGGAGCGGTCTTCAGCCCACAGCAGAGGCCTCGCTCGCGTCCCTGACTCCGTTTCCCCAGAGCGAGAGGAGCGGGGCAGGGTGGGGCTAGATTGGCTGCAGCTGTGGAGCCCAATTTAGCCCTTTCCCCAGAAACACAGTCAGCCTGGGAGGCAGCAGCCTGGGGTACCCCAGGGACACTGTAGGCACCGGGCATGAGGCCAGCGAGCTGGGTATTGCCTAGCCCTCCCCTTCCCCAGCCGGACAGCGGCTGGGACCCGGGAAAGGGAGCCAAGAGAAACACGCGACACCGCTGCAGGCCATACAAGGGCAGCGTGGACCCGGGAGCGCCCGGCTCCCAGGCAGTTCCAGAGAAAATCTCCGAGGTGCAGGGGCGCTCTTCCCACCTGAACGTGGTCCCACTCCGGGAGGCGTAACAATTCTGGGCGCTTCCACCCTGGGCACCCTCGAGCCCTCGCTTCTGCCACCTGTGATCCCCTCACCCGGACAGGCGCGAGGCGACCCACGCCGCCCCCCAGCCCCTGCCAACGCCCTTGCTCGGGCGGGAGCCGCCGTCCCTCCCCCGCTCGCTCACCTCCAGCCTGGCTCGGAGCCCAGGCCGGAGAGGAGGCGTCGGCGCGCCCCCTCCCGCTAAGCAAGCCGCCTTTTCCAGCAACAGGCGGGCGCAGGATCCGGGATTTGGGGATGCGCTCCAGCGGCGCCTCCCGCCGCCGCTCCAGCCGCGGGCCCCCAGAGTGGGCACCTGAGGCAAAGCTCTCCCCAGCTCCCCCGAGAGGCTCGGCTCCACCCCCTCCGGCTCCGGGCAGCAGCCTCCTCCCTCCCCGCGTCCTCCTTCCCGGGATACCCTAGGATCGAGGCTGCAAACTGGCGGCGAAGAAGAGTTGCACGCGCGCAAGGCGCCGGGAAGGAGGAGCGCACGCCGGGGCGCAAAGCCCCGACCGGCGCCGCGCCGCCGGCTCCGCTCCGCTCCCCGGGCGCGCTCCGCCAAAGACCCCTGGCCCGTGCCGCTCGGGGGCGCGGGCCCCCTGCGAAGCCACTCACC